CCCGGATCGGGCCCGCCAGTACGCACGCCCGCTCCACACCCCGCAACGGCTTCAGTGCCGGACATTACCCCCGGGCCCCTCGACCCCAGATGCGTCCCTGACAAGACAACCTTTCCCTGTATCAATGTACCATTGACCCACCCGCAGCATGCTCACAACGTGCCCAGCCCAGGCACCTTGGGCGACTACAGCTGTATGCAAGGATGATGTGGCACCCATCATGTGACCCAAGCCGCATGTATATAAACATACCTGAAGTGGGAACCAAAGAAGTAGCCTTCTTCTCACCCTTTTCCACTTCAGGTAAGTAGCATAGCATTCCCCTTTTAATAATAATAACACCCTTTTCCACTTCAGTCTAAGTGGCCAGGGACTGTCTCCTGAGCCGGGCCCACCAGTATGCACACCTGCTCCACACCCTGCGAGACTTCTAGTGTCAGGCATTGTAGGCGGGATAATCACCCACATGCAGACCCGGCTCGGATATCCATTTTCACCATGCAAGAATCATCTTCATTCATTCCATAATTCGATACAAACTTGGTACCTAAAAATACTCCTAATTCCTACGAATCCGTCGATGTCAAGATCGTCCCAATCGGTGGAGATTTGGTGGAGTTAAGTGTTGGGGAGGTTGGCCACGGCGCGGGTCACGGGATCTGGTCATGTGCGGGCGTGGGAAGTTCAATTTAGGCAAGCGGGAAGTCAGAAAAGCATGCTTCACACATTCCCAAGGCATCAAATAAATTGGGAAAAATGTTCTTTAGCCGCGTAAAGGTTATTCCCAACCACATTTCCAGTTTCGGGTACTAATTTGGTGAAATCATTGATAAATTCTCGATTTTCTTCATATTTTCACAATGCCCTTTTCAAATATTTCGCTTACGATGGGGTCCAGGAGCCATATGGCACCAATATTTCCCATCAATCATTTCTAAAAATGTTTATTCTTTATAATCCTGTACATACCGGGATTGAAAAATCAAGTTCTCCCCTCCTCTAAATTTCTCTAAGGCACTAGGACACGTCAGAGTTAGTGTGAGTGTGTTAGAAGTTCCTACAGTAGGAGTAAGGGCAGTCGTCTAGCCCACAAAGAGTGGGTAGTGGACACTGAGCCCGGACCTTGCAGAATTTCCGGAGAATTTCCCGGAGTTTTAGGATTGAGGCCAGTGGAGAAAAGGGTTTTAGTGGAGAGTTTCCCCCACGAGCTTGGTTGGCACTGAGAGCTGCTAGCTCTCTTGCAGCGTCTCACCTGGGCCTCCTCTACCCCAGACATGTCCCTGACATCTCCCTCTGAAGTTTGGAGATCAACTTCTCTCTCTGTGTCTTTCAGAGAGGCGAAGATGCCCTCGGCATCTCTTTGTGCTCTATTGTACTCACACCTCCAATGGGTGCAATTATTGCAGGCATCATCTGACACCCGTGAGTTATCAGACTGTGCCTGTTTGGATGGCCTTGTCAGGGGCGCACGTTGAAGGAGAGAATGAAGGTCAGTTGGGAGGTTCAAACGAGACCACCACCAAGCTGTTCCCTGGTTCTTTAGTTAGGATGGGGAAGTGTACTAGTGTTATTTATTGTAAATATAGTACCAATCCGAGTGTTTTGGCTAATTCTATTTTTATGGGTTAGTTTTAAAGTTCCCTGGAATTGACTTACAGATAAACCGAGCCCTGCGGAGCTGTTTCTTTATTGAAATTTCTTAATTTGTCTAGGTGTAATTCCGTGTAGCATTGTTTTAATTTGGATTTAATCTTCTACTTGGTGAAGTTTCAAAGATTCTACTCAGTTAATGGATTTAGATTGTGTCTGGAGTGTCCCTTGAGTTTGTTTTATTTTTGTCTTATTTTATTGCTTGTTTTAACAGTAGCAAAATAACTGTTTTGTGCTTACACTTTGAAATCTGGAGTGTTAACCAGCTCTCCTGTTGAAATATCTACTTAATATTTCTCTCCTTTATTGCTGCCTTTTACTACAGTGGCAATCTTAACTGTATATCACTTTTTCGCACTGGAGTGACAACCAGAAATGCTTGAGAAAAATAATACTCTATTTTCTTACTTCTCTAAGGGGGGCGAAAAGTCAGAAAGGGTCTCCCTTTTATACTCCTTGGGTCGCCTTCCTTTTTCACGCTCTACCTTCTATTTACAGGATTTATTTACAGTGTATTTTTCTCAAACTGAATAAAAATGAAATTTTCATGCTATAGTTCTACTGCGCTTGTGCTGCGCTGAACTGCGGTTCTACTGCGGTCAGACTGCGCCTAGAATTCTCATTGTCCTCCCTCGCCTAAGCTATTTTAATGGTTAATTGGAACTTGGCTGCACTGTATTTGTCGCAGTTACCTATTTCAAATTCCCTATATATACCATTAAATTTGCTATGACTCGATGATTCTGAATTCAAACTCATTACTATGCGTATGGCTGTGCTGAGACCTTCAGCTGATTTATTCCAATTTTATTTAGTGACATTTAGTTAAAATGAGACTGAAATGATAAATGAGTGAATTATTCAGGTTTAAAACTGAAAGAAAAAGTTGCTAGTAGTCAAGAATTACTCAAACGAATGTGTTATAGCTCTCCACTTCATTAGAACATCGTTCCCTAAAATTCCCACCATGGTCCATCGTAGTTTAGTGGTTTTCGTGAATTTCGTTCATATTCCCTGATTCCCCTTTGTATTATCACATCCTAATCCTCCATATGTATTGTTGGTTGTTATAGTAGGTTGCCCTTGAAGATATCATATTTTTATCTATTTTATTTAGGACTCTGGACCTCTTGAAGCTGTCTTCCCACGCGTTTTCAGGTTTCTAACTTCATGTCCTTGTATCTCATTCATTTCTGGATGTTTTCTCACGTTCTTGGTATCATAAATTTTCATTTATTCCCACCTTTCCAATGGTACTAAGGCTGTGTCCTATTTCCTGGTATTCGTTGAGTTAGCAAAGATTCGTGTGCACATTCAGTAATCATGTGTGTCGTTCCCATAGTCGTTCGTATGCAGGAGCCGTTTTCGTTTAATTGTTCAGGATTTATGATATGTGCGGGTGTTTATTTCTTTCATATGGGCTTCTGTGATTTATTTCAGATTTTTCCCTCATGATCTAAGGTTGTTTTGCACTTTCTGTGCTTTGTTTTGACTGGGCTCTTCCTTATTTGGACGGAAATTGGTCTTCGCGATCTGCCGAAGTGCGGATCTCGGTTCCGACGGCTGGTTCCCTGTGCATCGCCACCCTCATGTGTCATTACACATGATGCGGATTTCTATATTCCCGTCATGGGTATAACTTCACAACGGCTGGACCGTTTGGGCTGAAAATTTGCATAACTATAGTTCCCCATTTTTAATAATTTCTGTGTAAATTTCGTTGTATGTTTTAATTATGGATCCTATGCAAACATCGTCTTTTCCCTGAGCTCGGACTTTTGATGTCGCTATTCCCGTTATTGGATATCTCATTAACGCATGATCCTTTTATTATGAAACTTTGGGAGGATTAAGTTTAGATCCCTTCCTTTCTAATGGGCTATCAAGCTTGTCCCGGTCGTTACCAGTTAATCTTCGCGCTTGCCTTTTAGACATTGTCCTCGTTTTGCAGGAGTTTTAGTCATATCTCCATCGTTTATGTGTAGTTTCCCCTGTAATTACTCTCATTGGTTCCGTTTGGGGGACATCTACATTTCCTATTATAAATACGACTTTGACTTTTGCATTAGTTCCTGAGGAATCTTTGTTCCGTGGTACTTCCATCCTTGGCTACGTGTGTGGACATGGGAAAGTAGTTTCCGTGGAGGTTCTCTGATTATTTTTATAGTCAAATCTTGGTCGATTGTCCTAATTCTTGATTTAATATTTGCTATAAATTTCCCTGAGAATTCCGTCTCGTTGATGGTAAGCTTGAAGTATTTTTGCTATTTTTCTTTCTTTCGATTTATCATGTATAGTCATAATAATTCGTAAAAATTCGTAAAATTCGTTAAAATTCAGGTCCTTCTATTTTCTCATATCTACTTGTCGTATGAGGTTTTTGTGATTTATCTGGCATATTTCCATAATGGGTTTCCATAGTGTGGCCGTTATTTCTCCTACAATGTCCATTCATGCTAGAGGTGTCCTGGTAACCTAGTCGATAACAAAAGTGAGGGACAGGCCCAACTCACTATGGCCCTGTATATACACATAGGAACTGTATAGACTACCTAATCGATACAGTGGGCTAGGATCGGATCGGATCAGCAAGGATCAGGCGGATCAGGAAGTCAGGGGCGATCGGATCTCTCCAGATCAGATCAGGAATATCCTGCGCGCTACTGTCCACACGGGCCCGGAGTGGTACTCTGACAGGCCTGGATGAGGAGCCACTGTCACTCCCTCATCTCCCTCCTATGAGGGACTTCATCTTTTTCAGCTCCTGACAGAGTTGACCTGTCTGAGCAGCTACCACTGATGCAATGGCTGATTCCCAGCCTGCATTTGGCTGAGGTGTTGTTGGACCTGGGCCAAATTGGCCAATCCAGGGGGTGATTTGGCCAGGGAAGTTCCCTGGGGAGTATGCCTGGGGCTGCAGCAGAAAATGCTGCCCCTGGAATGGCGCTTGTTGTGCCATCGGTGCAGTTTGCACCTGGTGCTCAAACTGAAGAGGAAACAAGCACTGGATGGTGCAAATGATCATGATCAGGGAAGCAGTCCGAGAGATGGTACGTGCAATATTGCTTCTGATCCTTATAATTAAAGATGCCACAATAGATTTAGACGCCCACATTGGGGGTGAAATTGATGACAATGACAATGTCTCAGAGGATGGAGATGATCCCCAACTAGATGAGCTAGAAAATGTGCTTTTGATGCTCAAAAAAGCCAGATGTGGTATGCAGAGTGCCGGAAATGGTAGGGACAGTGATGCAGAGGAGTTGGAATCCCAGTCGGATGGTGAGGACTGTGATGATGCCCCAGAGTATGAGTTGGAAGCAGGGGAAAAGTGCGTGACTGACCCTGCATATGAGTTCTGCCCCGAGGCACACCGTTGGCAACTCCTTTGGACATTCACTCAACACCTCTGCTGTCAACCAATCTTCCCATCACCCTCCAGCAACTTCGAGAACTCTAGGGACATCCAACGTGCCTGTGTCTATGACATGTATGTTTTTTGCCAGGAGCGTGGTCTGACAGAGGCTTGGGCCTATCTTTGGAATTCTTGGTACAGCAAATGGGATCTCTGGGCATGATCCTCCTGTGAATCTCATCTCTCTTGTGTCCGCACAACCATGATCACTGAAAATCACTGGAAGTGTCTAAAACATGGCTATCTTTGATTCAAAACACGCTCACTGCCACCTTGGACAACCACTATGTGGGCCTTTATAGGGGGGACCTCAGGACATTTGCATGGGGCCTAAAAGGCCTTTTTCACTATAAACATCCTAGGACATCCTGGCCATTCAGTTTCATTCATTTGTTGCAAACATCCTCAGATGTCCTAATTCAGTTTGCTTCAATGGTTGCAAATTGTCCCGGAATGCCATACTCATCCATCCCATGGTCTGTGCGCATGCTGACCACTGTCTAGAGGGATGTCAACACTGTTTCCCACGGTCTGAACACACTTTACATAGTTGAATAGCCCCTTTGAATAGCTTCCAGAATATATATTTTGAGACTGAATTGACCAATAAATTATTGAGAAAAATGCAACACGAGTCTTTTGATGGTGGCTGTCCAACTTATTTAATGTCTGTGCACAATACTGGTCACTGTCTGAAGGAGTGTCAGCACTGTTTCCCACGGCCCCAACACACTTTACACAGATAGATAGCCCCTTTGAGTAGCTTCCAGAATTATATTTTGAGACTGAATTGACCAATAAATTATCGAGAAAAACACAAAATACTTTTTTGGATGCAAGTCTTTGGGTTAGTGTGGCTGTCCAACTCAATGTCTGTGCACAATGCTGGCCACTGTCTGAAGGGGTGTCAACACTGTTTCCCACGTCCCCAACACACTTTATGCAGATGGATAGCCCCTTTCAGAATATATATTTTGAGACTGAATTGACCAATAAATCATCGAGAAAAACACAAAATACTTTTTTGGACACGAGTCTTTTGGGTTAGTGTGGCTGTCCACCTCATGTCTGTGCACAGTGCTGGTCATTGTCCGGAGGGGTGTCCAGACTGTTTCCCACGGTGTCAACACACTTTGCGTAGTTGGATAGCCCCTTCAAATAGCTTCCAGAATATATAATTTGAGACTAAATTGACAAGCATTGGTCAATTCAGTCTCAAAATATATATTCTGGAAGCTATTCAAAGGGGCTATCCATCTGCATAAAGTGTGTTGGGGACATGGGAAACAGTGTTGACACCCCTTCAGACAGTGGCCAGCATTGTGCACAGACAGTTGAGCAGCCTGAGGATTGTCATGGGAAATCAGATTCAATTGCGGCATTATGTTTTGAATGTCTACCCTGAATAATACAAATTTGATTGAATCACAGAAGCATTTGATTGAATTTGATTGAATTATAGAATCATCCCAGGACATCCTAGGACATCCACTAGTAAATACCCCCTTTTAGGCCCATTTGAAGGCCAACCGGCCCTGTTAGAATGGGGGCTGAACAGACGACTCTGGAGTGGAATCGGAGACTTAGCGTGGAGGGACCTTGGCCTCAGTGACTCAAGTGGAGCGCTGTGCCATTGCTGTTTGTCCATTTGGTCCTTAATTTCACAGTAGGTGAGCAGAAAGTCTCTAGGGGGCATTTCAGGTCAATTTCGGACTGAACCAAAACGAGTATGTACAAGCGCTGATATATATAATGGAGGGGGCAAAAGCACAAGGAAACAAAGGGGAACCGAATCGGAGTGAAGATGTCCAAACAGGAACAAAGGGTAGAAGAAGCGGAGTGGTACCGAAGGTCATAAGGTAGGATCTGTGATACTTCCGAAAGGAGGTAGGGAGGGCAAGGCCCAGAGGGGCAGGAGGATGAGGAGAAGTGGGGATGATGACTAACTGGCTAGAATGGGAAGAAGCAGTAGTCCAAATAGGGATGAGGGGTAAACACGAGAGATACATTACAAGCGGCGAAAGTGCCAAAGGCGATCCGCGAAGCTTGGGGGTTACGGAGCTTACAGAGGTTATGGAGGCAGGGTTGAAAGTCCAAGGGATATTGGCAATGGTGTTTACGTAGTATGAGGTCACCAATGCAGTGGACTAAGACCGAGGTGGAGTCAAAGTCCGAGGTCGGGACTATGACGGAGGCTCGGAGCGAAGGTACGAGCGGTGTCCAAGTAGGAAGTATGGGACAGCGGTGAAAGGTTGTAACTTGGCAGAAGGGTGGCGGAGGAGTACCAGAGGGAGGAGAGAGGGGAAAGGTAAGGGGGAAGGAGTGGCGGAGAGGAGGGTTGTCAGGTCTGAAGGTGGGTATCGGAGTGGACGGGGGAAGCGTAGGAGGATGATGTGAGGGTGGAGGTTGGGTGAAGGAGGAGCGGAGTAGGAGGAGGAGGAGTAGTAGGAGGGTGGCGAGAGGGGCGGTGTTCGGTCCGAAGTGAGTATCGGAGTGGACGGAGATAGGGTAGGAGAGGAAGGGAGGAGTAGAGGTGGCGTGGGGGGGTTAGAAGGAGGTGTGTTGCCAAGACTGAAGGTGAGTATCGGAACAGCAGCGGTAGGGTATGACTCCGGAGGTAGAGAGGGTGGAGGTCCGGAAGTCGGGTCGGGGTCGGGTATGCACGGATATGACAGGCCCCCCCTCTATAGGCCGTTATTAGATGGCTGACTAGGCTGCTCACTGCTCGATCAGACTGTTTACATCATTGTCTATTCCACCATTAACTCCTATATTCATACATCCCACTTTCTTGAGCCTGACTGGCGCCTTGGCAGGAGCCGCCCCCTCACAACTTGGCAGCGAGCTTTCAAGTCTGCTTGGAATGAACTTGAAAAGAGGCCCATCAGCGGCCGCAACTATAATACCGACATCAAAGACTGGACCTGCCACTGCGGTGCACAAGCCACCAACACATTTCACCTTTGCAAACACCTCATACATTCTGCTGGGAAACCTCGGGAGGATATCCACCGGTGTCGTGTTATGCCCCTGTATTGGCATACTCACCTCCGGAACCGTGACCAAGCTGCCAAACAAGGCAGCATATCTGACAGTGATGACCAGAACCGAGAAGGGTCCGACTTAGTCTAGCTAGCCTCACATCAAGTGCACTCACTCATCCTTAGCAGATCCGACTCAAGATTTGGATCACTCAGCTAAAAAGGTAAAATATGACACTTCAATCACTCATGCTGACATCTTGATTCAGGTGTGCATGGATGTCAACACCAATCTCACCCCTGCTGGCAATGACAAGGTTGTGAATCTCCATGGCAGCGATTTATCGGATGAGGATGAGGTGAGGTGGCGTTATTTCTTGCATGGTTCTCACACTTACGAGTTCAAAGATTGCCGAGCTGCAAGCTCATTTCAATGAATTGGGGGACTATCTCATTGAGGCCAGAGAAACTGTCCTCCAACAAGTTGAGAAGGATGAGGGTGTTTGGATGTGGGGTATGGCAGGTCATGATCTGACTCAAAAAGCAGGGCCGATTGTCGAGGAATTTGTCAGAGTGATGCACAAAGAAGAGCAGAGTGGAATGGTTCATACCTGGCTCTGGGGCAAGAGCCGCCGTGGCCGACAAGCCAACCTTGCAATGTTAGGTTCCCATACCTCTAGTGACTGGGATTCAAATCCGGCTGCCTCTTGCTTCGAAGGTGACGACGATGCTGCTGATCAATCTGTACCTATTTTTTCAAAGGCACTTTCACTGTTCACTTTCATCCACCTTCGGCCGGTAATAGCATGTCATTTTGCTTCTCGTGATATGATGTGAGCTCCTCTTAGCTATCCTTGCCCACTAACTCTGGACTTGTTGCAGTCCCGTTGACTATTTCATTTTCCCACTATTTTGCCACAATACTGTGTATTTCTTATCAAATCCCCAACTCCACAATCAAATCAGTCACTCCTTGAGTCCGATTCACACCTTGCGACATATGCTTTCTCTGACAAAGGAGTCAGGCAGGTTCTGAGAAAGAACAAATTAAGAGTCGTGAAGGTAACCTCGAGTGCAAGAGATAGGACAAACTGAGGTTGCTTCTCTGCAGGATCTTCCTCTGCTGGGTCCGTGGAGAAAGCTTAGATGGGTGCAGAGAGATGCAAAGGGTCCTGATCCTCATCAACAGTGAATGATGTTGTTGAATATATCACTAGTCAGGTATGCAGTGTGCGCATGCACAACATCCCATGACTACTCCGACACCACCTCCCATCTCGTCCGTGCGCCATCCCAGTTGTAGCATAGCCCCATTGTACTATAAAACCTTGTAGTCAAAACCTAAGGATAATATCTTTCTACTTACTTGACTTGAGTCCCTCACTAGTGTCTGAGTGTTGCCGTTGAGTGCCTAATGTCTACTCATAACAACAGACTGGGATAACAAGTCATTTCACTAGCCTTATCGGGTATGCAGTGCGTGCATGCACAGCATCCCATGACTACTCTGACACCGCCTCCTGCCTTGTCCGTGTGCCATTCCACATGTAGCCATACTATAAAACATTGTATACATAGTTACACCTAATAATAATACATCTTTTTATCAGTCCCCATATCCTTGAACAAGACAAAGCTAATGAAACGCACCTCTTCACAAAATGGCACACTGCCCTAAACTCGTTGCCCTTCAGGCATCCTGATGTGATGTACCTGCACTGGCATATCCTTCAGGCCCATCACACACCATTCTCTGGCCATACACCTCCAAGCACCACGCTCATCTTCATCACCCCATTTGGTGGCAGCACAGAAACCGATGGAGGGAATCGGTGAGTCGTTGATTTTTGGGACTGGTGGCGAGATTACTGTCCCATTACGACTGTAGGTTCATTCCCATGTGTTTCAGGGATTGCCGGCTCCTTCTTGCGTAGTTCATCCCTCAGTGTGACATGTGCCACACATCACGTGAAAATATTGAACTGAATGAAAACTGAATTAATTTGCTGTTTCCGGCAACTTCCGGATACCGTGGGAATTAATTGTCAATACATTCATCTGTTCGAAGTCTTGTTGTGACATGTGACAAAACCTACTTTAGTTCAGTTCACAATTTGCGTGTGACATGTGACTGAACCAACAGTTGTAATGGGACAGTATTCACACCCAGATCATGTTGATAATTTTATTTCCTGGGTCCTCCAGATTTTGGCATTGCCACCAAGACACTTTTTGGCTGCCCCACTAGTTTCTAGTGTGTCAGTACCAATCCGGAGCTTGATGGTGTCTGGAAATCATGTTGATGAGCGACACTTGATCTCGGAGCTGGACTAGAAGCGTGAAGCTCAGTCTCAGCTAATATGCATGAAGAACTAAATTGTATTACCTAGAAGCATGAAGCTAAAGGTAATATACATATTGTAAGTTACAATAGTAAAGGCAATAGTAATAAAGGAATGTAACTAACCTCAGTCTCAGCTAATATGCATGAAGAACTGAGGGAAAAGGAAATGAATTCAAATGAATGAATATATCTGTGGCCTGGCACAGGTTAGTCTGAAATAATATAAAAGAGGTATTGTGACCAAGTAGTCATGCTAGCATGGGAATGTGGCTGTCCGGGTGAGTTCCTCACTCGGATGTGGGAACGTGGCTGTACGAAAACTCGTCCGGCCTCCCATAGCACATGGTTCCTCCAACAAATCATGCAATTGGAAGGCAGTAAGTGTTGGGGGACAACTCCCAGGTCCCCATGACCCTCCCCTATGGCCCACAGCCTCAAGTCTGGCCAGCCCTATCCAGGGCACAATCCTACTGTGGGTCAGAGATGGTCATAAATGAAAGGGCAAGTATATATGTCAGGGCACACCTGCCTGACCTGGGACCACCCGGACCCACCCAGGCACACCTCACCTGCTACCCTGCTGTCCATCCCTCTCCTTCCTCCCTCCTCCCCTTGTTCCCTCTTTCTTCCTCTCTTTCTTCTCCTTTCTTTATTTCATTCTTCCCATCTTTCTCTTCCTGTTTATTGCTTCTATCTACACAGACCACTTTTTTTTGTATCAATGTACTACTGACCCATCCAGCCCAGACACCCCAGATGGCTTCCCACTGTGCCCAGCACGCATTGTAGGAGAAATAACGGTCACACTATGGAAACCCATTATGGAAATATGCCAGATAAATCACAAAACCCCATATGACAAGTGAATATGAGAAGATAGAAGGACCTGAATTTTAATGAATTTTTACGAATTATTACGACTACACATGATGAATTGGAAGAAAGAAAATTAGCAAAAATACTTCAAGCTTAGCACCAATAAGACGGAATACTCGGGCAAATTTATAGCAAATATTAAACAAGGATCTAGGACAATCGGGCAAGATTTGACTATAAAACCAACCAGAGAACCTCCACGGAAATTACTTTCCCACGCCCACACATGTAGCCGAGGATGGAAGTACCACGGAACAAGGATTCCTTAGGAACTAATGCAAAATTCAAAGTCGTGTTTATAAGAGGAAATGTAGATGTCTCTCAAACGGACCCAATGGAAGTAATTACAGGGAAAACTATCCATAAACGACAGAGATATGACCAAAACTTGCGGAAAATGAGGACAGCGTTTAAAAAGGCAAGTGCAAAGAGCAAGCAGTAATGACCGAGTTGAGCTTGATAGCTCATTAAGAAGAAAGGGATCTAATATTGATCCACCCAAATTTTCATGATAAAAAATTCACGCATCTATGAGATATTCAATAATGGGATGAGTGACATCAAAGTCAAGGCTCAGGGAAAAGACGACATTCACGAAGAATTCAAATTTGAAACACACAACTAAATTTACATGGAAATTATGATAAATTGGAAACTATAGTTATGCAAAGTTTCAGCTCAAACGGTCCAGCCGTTGTGGAGTTATACCAATGACGGGAATATGGAAATCTGCATCATGCTTAATGACATGTGAGGGTGGCAATGCGAATGGAACCGGCCGTCAGAACCAAGATCCGCACTTTGGCAGATCGCAAAGACCAATTTCTGTCCAAATAAGGAAGAACCCGGTCAAAACAAAGCACGGAACGTACAAAACAAGCTTAGATCATGAGGGAAAAATCCAAAATAAATCATGGAAGCCTGTATTGAGGAAACAAACACCCACATATACCATAAATCACAAACACTTTAACAGAAATGGTGCCTGCATATGAATGACTATGGGAACGACGCATGTGACAACCAAATGTGCATCTGCGAACTTTTGCTAAATCCATGAATACCAAGAAATAGAATACAACTTTAGTACCATTGGAAAGGTGGGAATAAATGAAAATTTATGACACCGAGAACGTGAAAAACCATTCAGAAATGAATGAGATACAAGGACAGGAAGTTAGAAACCTGAAACCGTGTGGGAAGACAGCTTCAAGAGGTCCAGAGCCCCAAATAAAATACATAAAAATATGATATCTTCGAGGATGACCTACTATAACAACAAACAATACGTATGAAGAACTAGGATGCAATAATACAAAGAGGAATCAGGGGGGAAGGACGAAATCCATGAAAACCACTAAACTACGACGGACCATGGTGGGAATTTTAGGGAATAATATTCTAATGAAGCGGAGAGCTATAACACATTTGTTTGAACAATTCTTTACTACTAGCAATTTTTTCTTTTGGTTCTAAACCTGAATAAATCACTCATTTACTATTTCAAGTCTCATTTCAACTAAATGTTACTGGATAAAAATAGAATAAATCAGCTGAAGGTCTCAGCATAGCCGTATGCATAGTAATGCAAGGTTTGAATTCAGTATGACCGAGTCATAGCGAATTTAATGGTAAATATGAGGAATTTGAAATAGGAAACTGCGGCAAATGCAGCGCAGTCAAGTTCTAATTGAACTGTTAAAATAGCTTAGGTGAGGAAGAACAATAAGGATTCTAGCCACAGTCTGACTGCAGTTCAGTGCAGCAGAGCGCAGTAGAACTATAGCATGAAAAGTCCATTTGTCATTCAGTTTGAGGAAAATATACTGTATCGTAAATACGAGGTAGAGCGTGAAAAAGGAAGGCGACCCGAGGAGTATAAAAGGGAGACCCTTTCTGCGACCTTTCACCCCCCTCAGAGAAGTAAGAAAATAGAGTATTATTTTTCTCAAGCATTTCTGGTTGTCACTCCAGTGCAAAAAAGTGAAATACAGTTAAGATTGCCACTGTAGTAAAAGGCAGCATTTAGAGAGAGAAATATCAAGTGAATATTTCAACAGGAGAGCTGGTTAACACTCCAGATTTCAACAGTGTAAACAAAACAGTTTTTTTGCTACTGTTAAAACAAGCAATAAAAATTAGATAAAAATAAGACAAAGTCCAAGGATACTTCAGACACGATCCAGACCCATTAACTAAGTAGAATCTTCGAAAGTTCACCAAGTAGAAGATTTAATCCAAGTTAAAATCCGAATTAAACATTTCTACACAGAATTACACCCAGACAAATTAAGAAATTACAATAGAGGAACAGCTCCGCAGGGCTTGGTTTATCTGTAAGTCAACTCTCAGAAACTTTTAGACTAACCCATAAAAATAGAATTAGCCAAAACACTTGGATTGGTACTATAATTACAACAGATAATACTAGTACACTTCCCCATCCTAACTAAAGAACCAGGGAACAGCTTAGTGGTGGTCTCGTTTGAACCTCCCAACTGACCTTCCTTCGTTCTCTCCTTCAGTGTGCACACAGTGGACGCTAATATACAAGATCCGGTTTTTTAGCATTTTCTCCTCTTCTGATGTGATCAAAAACTGTCCGCCCGCGCCAGGGAATACTCTGTCATATGGTATTTGGTCCGCCAGACTTCCGGGCGCCAATATATTTCCCTTGAGTCACATTACTTTTTATAAGAATTAGCAAATAAATATATATG